AGACTTGATAAGAATATCTCTACAATACTGACTCACCCTACTCAAAATGATAGCAGAAATATTTTACACTACATACAGACATTTTGGGAAAATTACCTCGCTTTGGATAAACATGTACTGGAGAATAATCATTCCGTTCTCAAATCTGCTTATTGTCTGTTGAACCAGAGTATTCCAAGGTTTATTAGACTGAATATTGACGTCCCGGTTCTCGCAAGAATATTCCAGTGGACTGAAGATGACGTAACAATATTCTCACAAAGTTTCTCCAACATCACACGGCTAAGTGCAATGTTCCCAGAACATTTCTTATTGATGGTTGCACATCTGAACAAACGATTTGAAGATTTCTCCTACGACTCTGGTTTAATAGTTGATTCTGATTACTGATATAGCTAGGAGCTAGTTGGTCTAGTGGTAGAGCACAGGGCTTCAAGTCTTCAAGGTCCCATGTTCAAATACGCCACAAACATTGGCTTTCAGCAATGTGATATCATTGACTATTGGTTACTGAAATATCAGTAGTCAAAGGTGATATACTGTGACTTGAAGGCCTAGGCTGAAGTAGTGTGTAAAACAGTTCCAAGCTACAGCCTAGTGCTCTAGGATATGTAGGACGTTAAATACCAGCATCACTTTGTGTTATGTCATTACTTGTTGTGATATGTATATGTATATTTCAAAGATTTCATTTTGGTCAAAAAGGACTTTACAGACTAAAAATGTGTAGATGAACTTCACAACAGATGTTACTTTAAGGTAGAACTTTGCAATATTTTAAAGTTCCTACACTGTGAACTTGAAATATCATCTTAAATAACCTAATTGACACAAGAGCATACAGTCTGTGAGGCACAATTTTACAAAATAAAATACAGTAGTTTTAGGATGATTTAAACTTAAAGAGTAAAATTTGTAATTTTGCTGGAAATATAAAGCTTTATGAGATGTTTAAGCTTGGAATATTGGTGGAGAGATGGTGAGAAGATTTGTGAAAGATATGGAATAACGGAATCCAGTCATATTACTGTTGGGTCCTTAACTGATACATTTACCAAATGACTTACAGAACAGTATTTAATTTCCTTTGGTCAATAGGAAATAAAAATAAACTCTCTACCTTATCAAACTTTACTCTACCTTTTGAAGATTAATTAATGAAAATATATTGGAATCTTTCCACAGACCTTCGGAATAAGAACCACAAAAAGTGAGTGTCCGTAAACCAAATTCTGAAATTGTTTACCTCTTCATTTGTCCATTGAAACACATCCACCAAGTAATTCGGGGTAGGATTGTATTTCAAAAACAAAGGTCCATTATTATCCTTCAAATGCATCACCGATCTAATGTATGCTCGGTCTCTAATTTTTATCTTTACAATAAGCAAGTTCAACTGATGGTTATAACACTCTAAAGATCTTGTTAGATTACAAACATGTTCTTTCAGGGGACATGCTAAAATCTTGTTTATATCAGTCTCCAGTTTGGTTAACTTGTTGTATAGCGCTGAGGCTAGTTTGAACTGATTTGTCATATTTCGCACATTGGGAGCAGTCGACTCACTAGGAAGAAGCATAATATACAGGAACAGAATCATTGCACTAAACACATATCCGACAGAGAGCAGTTCATCCAAATGTAGGTCAACTCACTTTCTAATCAGAAAGCCAAAAAGATTACAATGCATATAATTTATTTCATGAATTTTCTCTCTTATTACTATCCAAATGAGACATTATGTGGGTAACATAATGGAAGCTGGAAATTAATTTGTTGAAGTAAAATACTGTCTTTAAATTAAAACTAAATATACTTTTCACAAGCTATAAATATAACACCCATAGAAGTTTAAACTTGGTGGACATGTTATTTTAAATCACCAGTAATTTATTAGATCACTCTTAGATTGGTGATTTTAATAATTAAAGGTAATACTTACAAAACTATAAATAGAAATTACTTTAATTAACGTGTGATTAAATAAACCTTACAAGATAAGTTCAGATTGTTTTATAAGAGAAGCTTCCCTCAAAACCTATGGATAACCTTACTTGCCTTACTCAGTTGTGATCCTCTCACATTCTGACTGAACAATTTTTTCTTCAATGCTCTGAGTTGGTGTGTACATTTATCACACAGCTTTCCAACCCATACTTAGATTATCTGATGTATTAAGATTTTGAAGATTTTATCCTTTACCCAGCTGCTTCTGTTCGTTGTCAATGATTAATAATCCAGGAAAATTTAGAAGTTGATTTTTGTCCTTCCGTCAATAAAAAAAATATATAAAATCTGTCATAACTATTCATATGTAATTTTTTACTTTCACTTGACCCTAAACACACCTGACATGCATAGACTCCCTCTTATTGGCATCAGTTTGGTACCCAAGTCCACTCACAACAAAAGCAACTCATAAACTGGGTCACACACACCATTGGTATGTCTAAAACCTTGTACAACATGTTTTTCTAGAGTGGTTTGATACTTGCAATGAATATGTTATTGATTCCTATTCCTTTATATTTTTTATTGTAGTACTAAGATGTTTATTTTGTTTAAACTCCTGATGTTTTTTTTTTTAAATTCTGGACAAAGGTTACGTCTTAAGGTATTCTAATAAGATGGAGTTTATTATAGCTATTTTAAGTTTGTGTTTGTAAGGCTTAACATTGTGTAGTTAAATATAGGCTGACTCATTGTTTCTTATCCGCTTTGAAATCACATTCAGTTGTAAACTTGGTTCTAAAGATGAGCAGATACAAACATCAACATAAGTTAGTGAAACATTTAACACTAACAATGTAACATGACATTGTTTTTCATCCTAGCACTTGCATGCATCCCATTTACTTTGCAGATAAACAACCGCACGAGATACTCAAGCTACGTGAGCAGAAGAATCAAACACAACTCTGTAGAAATCTATGAGAAACTTTTCAGTTTAGAAAACTGGATCGACAGTTACTTGTCTTACCCAAATAGTACTTTGTTTGCCGATCTCAACAAATGTTTGGAAACATACAATCAGCTGTTTAATGTGATAGTTGTCAAAGTGAAAATAAAGGACAGAATGTACTGCAGGTCTGTAGAACGATTGGTGGGGCAGCACGGGCCGATCTTCCTTCGGTACGATTACACCTTTAACTTTTTGATACGTTTTTGGGGATGGAGTAAAGAACAAGTAGTGATACTGCGGATTTGGCTTACTGATGCCTACTTCACCTGGTCTTTACTTAAGAGGTTTGTAGTGAAACATTGCTATCCTATCAGACTGTCACATCATTTATCTGAGACTCAAAAAGGTTTGGGTGTGACAACATATAGGAGTAAAGAAGGATGTGTTAATGTCACTAACAATGAGTTTAAAGATAACAGTGATGGTGTTAATGTAACTAGTTGTGTATAGGGTACATTAATTAAACCAAGGTAATGGACTCTTTTATTGCTAAGAATTTATCTTTTTAGTGATTGTTTATGATATAGTGTAAATTATGTCTACTTTTATTGAAATTATTGTTAGTTGTGGTTGTTGGAATAAAAACAATGTTTTCAGCTTATGTTTCATTGGTATAAGCTCTCCTCATACATTGTTTAGTTAATGCAGAATATGAAGGAAAATTAAAGCCAACTTTTTAACACGGTTATTTAAAACTGTCGCCCAAAGAAAAAAACACGTCATATGTAATCTGTTAGGAAAAGTGTATGTGAAAAAGTAGTACAGTAAAGTCTGGTTGATCTTGATTAATGTGGCGGTGTTTAGATCCACATATCCAGGTGAGGCATAACAGAATATATGCAATGAATACAAACCTTAAAAGGAGTGCATTGCCTATGTTTAAAATTCAGTCTAGGAGTATTTAAATTTCGGATAGTTTCCGCGGCGGCCACTAGGTAGCGAAGGCGCTACTATCTCGAGCCCGTGGCCAAGTCATCTGACTGTCACTCAGTCTGGGAGAGTGAGAAAAAGAATCGGCTTAAAAAGAGAAAGAGAGAGAGAGATAGAGTAGCGTGGCCGCCGCACGAGCGCATCCTAGTGGAGGCCGTGTGAAGCTCGTTTTGGTGGCAAAATTTGAATCTGTCTGTTCTCCACAAGCATTTCGCTTCTTATAAGGTTTGTATAAATTTATATATGTCTACTTTGCACTTTTATTTAGACTTACTTGTCTATAGTAGGTATGAGTAATTATTGTATTGTATTGATAATAATTATTGACGATGAGGCAGGTTATATAAGGGAAATGGAAGGGCAGAAACTTAAGGTTTCAGTGCCCACAGAGGTAAAGTACGGTAAGTGAAGGTATGCACTGGAAGGTGGTATGGTTGACTATACACTTCTCAATTGACTATATATTCTATCTACTTGTACCGGTACTTATAATCGGTGTGTGAATCGGCCGCAAATCTCACTTCTACGCTTTCTACATCGACAAAATTGCTGTTTTATTGTAAAATAATCTGGTTTAAAATGCATATTGCATAGGCCTATAAATTATCGAATGAAAAATATTTGGTCACGTGACATCTGACTACAAGATGATTTTTCACGTTAAAACTAACAGAAAATTTGTCAAAATTTATACAAGTAATAAAACCTTGATAAACTTAACTGTTTTGAATTATACACAGTTTTAACTGACCACTCGATTCCTGTACGTAGAACGGACCAACAGCTTGTTAAGTTTTAAGTTATAAAATGTTTAACAGTTCAAGCCTTTTAATCAATCAAAAACACACTTTTTTTAAACTTGTATTACTTTGATGATCATCATTTGTATTAATTTAGAACTGGAATAAATTAGAGCATCTACTACTGTACTATTGAAGTCTCATTATAAAGATTACTTGGTAAAGAGATTTTCTATTCCAACTGTCTCTCGTGATTGTCTAGTTGAGCACGCAGGATTCTCAAGTGAAGAGGTGACAATCGAGAGCTGCTGTAAGGGTGCATTGTATGCACAAAAAGAAATAAAAATAAACTTTCTTTATAATTATTTTATTACAAAACAAAAAGAACACCATGATCTTAAAAATTGTATCCTTATGATAAATTAATTAATAATATAATACTTTCGTTTAATAATAGTAATTATAGTAATACTTATCTCTAAATATAATCTGTCCAAAGTAATTTTAAATAATATTGTAAATATAACAACAAACAATATTGTTGAAGGTGGGTACACATAACTAATTATATTCGTAAATTCGATTTTGTACCTTGTTTGAGTCTCACCATGGACACTTTGGTGACTGACGTGGAACGTTTCCCCCACACCCTACTTACTTATTTACAATAAATCACATTAAAATAACAGCCTCAAAACTACATGTTTCCTATTTATTGAAAATATACGTTTTATTGGAAAACTATTGTGGTAATCTAATCTAATTCAATATCACATCTAACACATAGAACTGAGGGAATAGACGAGTTTTGAAAAAAGACACGAAATAGAAGTGGCTCGTTTGGCACTTGTATTGAAAAGTTCTGACGAATGAAAAACCAAAGGCTAATAAGAAAATTAAACTTACATTGGACAGACTATAAAGACATCTTACACATATACAGTATTCTAAAAAAATGACAAATGCACCATTTTTGTGAATGAACACAACAACTCGGTTTAAGTAAACTAACAACGTGGGGAATACATGGACGGGCTCCGGATCTTCTGTCCCCTGAAGACTTATTACGCAACAAATATGGTTGAGAGTGCACCCGATTCCCAAGCTCTAATCTTACGTGATAGAGGAAATGTAAATTGAATAATAAATATGTTCTCAATTTCAGTTCATGTACAGCTAACTGAAAAACTTAAAATTATATAAAATCGACAATTTCATTTGTCATTAAGTAGCACCACTACCAGTCTTAAAAAAATACATTTTGTGACTAAACTCTTTACACCGAATAGTCCATACTTTTAATTTGTAATTTATGTGACATTTTAGACAAATGTGAATATTTTCAATAGTCAAACCTTTAGCATCAAGTTGACTAATGTTCCGAAACGTGTAAAATCCTTAAAACTTTACCAAGCGTTTGAAATTAAATTTGTATAAGCCAACTTATAGAGCTCTAACATGCCTTACGGTGAAGGTGAGTCGAATGTTGTGAAACACGTATGAGCATGCTTGCAAAGTCAACCATAACTTTGTTCCCATAACAATGAGTGCAGGTTTCTCGCATTCTAGCAAGAAGTGTGACAGAAGACTAAGCGTTTGGGAGCTACATCTTGCCTGTTGTCCGACTTTCTGTTTGATAACAGTTGAAAATCCGTAAACCACTCGTAAGACCACTTAAGCGGCCGAATTAACATGTGCTTCAAAATATTTTTTTTCAAAATGTATCAAAATCTCAATGTGGTTTGGGGATAACGACTTGATTCTTACAAACTTCATCACCAACTATAATATAAATACAAAAAAATTTACTTTAATTTTCTCATAACTGTTGAATATCGATGCAGAAAATATTTCAAACACGTACTATAACCTTTTAATATTAAAAACTTTAAAAAGTCCGATCACACGTGACTTGCGTTATATATATATATTATGTAAAACCGTACAAAATGGCTGTATTTACCTTTACTAGTAATAGATGATGAAGATTCAAACTACAAAAGGTATATTGGAAATTTCAAGGAGCTAGTAACATGCTAGAGACATCAATGTTAGGTATGACAGGTCAAACAGGTCATACAAACTCAATGTAACAATAAGTTTATTTATTTAACATTGGGATTTTCCATCCGTTCTGAAAGAGATGAGATTAGTAGAGATCCGTGCACACATGTAGAGAAGAGAGAGAGAGGAAGAACAATGAATTGTCTTCGATACCAAGCAAGAACTGTCTTAATTTACGGTTTTAGAAAACCGTATTATTATTTAATAAAAACCGTAGATATTATTTGATTTATTACTTTTGAATTACATAATAACAAACATAACGTGGCCATACAATGATTATTAAATAAATTAAAGGCAAGTTTATTTAATGGTGTAAAAGTTGCACCTAACTACCTTTTGAAGTAATAATAAATTACGAATAGATGATCAATGTCATTTGTATTAAAACCAAAGTATAAAGTCAGCTAAAGGGCGACTTTATAAACTGAACCATCTGTTCTTGCTTGGTGCCGAGTGAATTCATAAGGAATATAAATGGAAGTATCGTGAAGAGAAGTAGAGAGAAAGAAAAGAAGAGTAGCAGAAGAAAGTTTATATATTTTGGTTTCTACTAGAATACTCTGTTATAAAGAAAGCTGATAATTTGTGTTACAGATTAGAGATTACATAGCAGACAGAAACTAGACTAAAGGATCAGGCCTCCACCTTCGAACCCAAACCACAACAGACTCAAAGCTCTGTTGGTGGTAGAGTTGTTCAACATATTGGTCCTCGGTTCAGAAGTTGGATGCCTCTAGTCTACACATATCTAGCAGCTACATAGTAGAGTAGGTAACGCACATTCACACAAACACTCTTAATATATTTTCATGTATTATCATTTATAAAAGAATATTGGAAATATATACCTATTATCGTACGATTTATTACAAGCTAGATTGTTTGATATATAGATAAAAGACAAAGTATATCTCTGAAGATGCTTTTAAAATATAGGTAAAACGTGCTAAATGACTTTCTTTTCGATAAAAAGAACGTTAGCCTAGGTTTAGAGTAAAGTTGATCCCATAGAAGACACGAGGCACAGTGATAAAGGGGAGAAATCGTTCAAGAGCTACCAACTAAATATCTAGTAAAGCAATAGATCAGAGATAAGTACAAAATACAACGCAAACACAGTCTGTTTGTGGACTGCAGAGTCATTATTGGCACATGATAACAGTCAAAGACAGTTCTGACCTGTTAAGTACAAAGTTACTACAAAGGTTCACACAGTAACACATAGTGAGGAACTGCAAAGAAATGTACAACCTTGACAGTAAGCAGTTCAGGAACATTTTCATAAATTACTGTGTATATTCTACTCCGTAGTACTGTAGTACTTAAATAACAAATAATTTTAAATATATATTCTTGTATACAAACATTTCCCTTAACAGTACCAAAATACAGTATTTGTAACATAAATTGTGCATACTGATTGAATGTAACTGCCCATCTCATAAAAGCGTTATTGACTTGCGACAGTAAAATATGAGAAAATTGTGCCGCTTAATGTTGATAGTAAAATAAAAATATACAAGAATAAGAATATGGAAATTAAAAGAAAACACGAAAAGCGGAATAATGAATTTTATAAAGCAAAACATCTTAACAACACACAACACACAATTTTATGATAGAGAAATGAAATAATAGAGAGAATCCTTAATATATATACAATCAAATAAAACAAATTGAAGAGGAAAGAGGGATCAGAAGAGTAAGAGAGAAAGAGTAATAAGAGAAAAGGAAAAAAGAGAACAGCAGATGCAGAGAGAATAGGTCTAGAAAAAAAACTGAAATAGCTACAATACATAACAAAATGCTTTAGATGCTGAAACATAAGTGTATAACATGTTAACTTCAAAATACCCTGCGTGTGCGATAAGCGATGAATTGCAAAACTCGTTTTGTGAAGTTTTGCGCAAAAACATTTCTATATCTTGCTCTACAACTGAGTAGAGCATTAAATTGACGTGGGTAGGTTTGTTATATCACTATTAAAAGAACAAAGAATTTTATTTTACAGTAGAGTTCATAATCGAACCGAATTTTAGAAAAAAGCTTTGTTCGGTAATTATTTGCTAGTTTCATGGGAAATAAATACTTTACATGATATGTTATAAGCCTATTCAAGAAACAACAACGATAAACTTGTAATAAAATAATGAATGCCAGAACGAACGAACAATCCTGTCCTACGGGTACTCTGGTGGTCGAATCTGTCTCGCTCCCTGAGTACCTTTTTGGTCCGAATTCAACACTACTAAATCAACTTAGATTATGATAATCCTCGCGGGAACGGGTTCTAATCTAATCCCTACCCTGTTCTCTACAAGCTACTTCATATTAACAATTGTAGGTAAATAGATAATATAAACACACCTAAACTACTACAAGAACTACCCGACGTTCATTATGCAACGACCCCCCTAGAAGCTGGCAAACAAAAAACATTGACAGAGTCTTCGTGTCGAAAAATAGATATAGGCTATGTATATTATAGATAGATATAGTAGGGCAAAGTATGATTGTCAGCCATTGATTAAGATACATCCATGATACAAGCGTAAGGGCTTCTACAAGTATAGATACTGGGTACAAGGTGATAGTATTGAATCGCTTTAGAGCATGTTTATCACAAAATGAAACATCATTAATATTTTGAATGTTAATTAAACAGATCTTTTTAACAATATTTGCAGATTGAGATTAGTTAAAGCTACAGCAACATTGGTCGTATTGTAAAAGAATAGTTACGTTCCCCAATAAGGTACAAATATAAGACATATAAAAATATTTTAACTAAATGCTCTCAATAAATATTTTAATTATCATTTGGTTTTTGTTCATACCTTTGATTGATTGTACGTTACATATTTTTCTTTATTTTAACAATATTTATAACTTGTTCTGACTCCTCTTTCCATAACCTTATCTCCTAAACTAGAGAAACAATTATTTTTTATAACTTTTAAAATACTACCTAAATCATGAATACAGAATGCTCTAAATAATCAAGACTGTATCAAAGAAGCAATAAATAATCACTGTAAAAATTAAAATACTTTAAAAATATATTTTCAAGACAAACATAATATTCTTGTTTTTGCATTGTAACATGTTTGCATTACCGGGCTCTGTTTTACTACACAACAGTTGCGTAAAATTAAGATTACCAAAGTAGAGTCATACATTTTTATTTGGCCCCGAAGTTTGGGTCGTCATATCCCACCACAACTTATAGTACACAAGCCTTCCTTCAACAACTAGGAAAGAAAAATAAATAAATAATAATACAAAATCCTACCAATGTATTGAAACTTAGTGTAAACACAATAAAGTAATGATACGATTTAACAACTATTTGTTGCGTTTTGATCGGTTTGTGTAAAAACTGATAATAAGTACCGGTACACATTTACAAAAATAACTCACTTTTAACAATATTTGATCATAATAAAATCTTCTGTAGCTGAAACCAGATCTCATCAACAAATAGCTGTTACAAACCACTTATAAGTAGGATAAAAATATTAATAATACTTTGAAATACTTATAGTTAAAGATTATTAAGACATGAATAAGATTATAAAAGTTATATCGTTCACCACGGCGACCATAAAACATGTAATCGACAAGTTTAGTGTTACATACACTAAGAAATAGAAATACTTGTTCAGCGTAAGAAGTGAAGAGTTTGTGTAAGTCGCGACAGAAGGCAAAGATAAATACCCCAAAATTACAAACAATACAGTAGTTGATTAATTCAAGATTAAAGAACACTTCTTTGTATTTAATCAAGGGCTCAAACACTTAAATCCATTGCAGAAACACTTATGGAAAATACAATAGAAAAATCTGAAGGGTAATCGCTAATAAGTATTAGTTGATAATTTGAGTAAAGATCGTAGGAGACTCCGAATCAGGAAATTAATCAGGCGTCAAAGCCAACTTTAATATGATCTACAATCTTTGTCTCTACCCTAATCTCTAATCTTTCTAATGATAAAATAATTCATACAAAATACGATATGTATAATCCAAGTTATTTAGACTCTGATCTCGTGGCTCGCTAAGCCGTAACAAAGCGGTTTTGCACATTGTCATTGCGTTCTCGTAGAAAACTCAATTTAATACAAACATTTACCCTAATAAACCTATAGAAACTAATCGACATCTGTGTTGTTGTCCGAGTAAGTAACAAAATAATTTTACACAATAAACGATATAACACAGAAAATGCCCTACAAAACATCTTAATAATTAACCTCACTTCTTTTTACAAACACTCCACTTCGAGTGCCACTCGACTGTCACCGAAAAAACGAACATAGAAACCTGAAAACTGCGGCTTCAGTCCATCTAACATTTGGCTAACGGAATACTGGGAACGTACGAGTTCGATCAAAATAACAAAACTGGTGAAGAAACTCAGAATGTCGATAGGTATGTAACAAGTCCGTAACACGACACGGTTTCTTCAATTACGTCATCTAGATGTTGGATTTGGAGAAAGATACCCTCAAGTGATTCTGTTCACTGAGCTGGTAGTTGTGCATTTTCTGAAACAAGCAAAACAGATGATTATAGTACAAAAAATGCACAAGTGTTTGGTTTGTATCAGAACTTCTCAGTGTTTATGTGCATGATGGTTATAATAGTCATCATCAACATAACTGTTTCATATGCCAATAAAAAGTGTGGTTAGCAGTTAAAACAACCTATTTCCTTCACTGTACTCTTAATGTACTAATTAATTTAACTTGATTTATCCATTTTTACTTCACTTCTTGATTAATATTGTACATGTTGGCGCTGTTATAGGAATGTAATAATGTAATAAAATATATCTTCTAACACTATTTTTGCAGTTGTTTTATATTTTGTTTATCATTGCTACACAACCCAACCAAAAAAATACTGAAGACACATGAAATTTTTGGTGGTTATCATTGGCGTCAACAACTGGGGTCATAACCAAAACCAAACATCTTAAAGGTTTGGTTTTTAATTGAACGGTTACCAATGCTGTACAAATAAAAATTGTACAATTGCATAATTAAGAAGGTAGTCAGTAACATAATTAAAATTAAAAAAAATTAACTTACAATTAGTGCAGCTACAGCATCCTCCATGTTGGCAAGTTGTATTAAAGCCATCCTTTTGTCTTTCCTATACAAACATTTTTTTTAAATTAAACATTGTAAAAACTGAAATAATGCAGCTTTTTTTAAGCAAAATATGTTAAAGAGAATTTTACAGTAACTCTAAATTAATTTAAAGTTTTTTTTTCATTAAATAGTTCAAGTATAGTACAATGTATTTTTTAAAATAATTAGTGCAAAAGAAAATGGAAACGATCTTCCCAATATTTTGCTGACATTTAACATTATTTTACCATAGGTCAGCAACAATAGTTTTAAAATTTTTCAGCTAACAGCTGAAAATCCTTAGAAAATATTGCACACCATTTATACATTATTTTTCCTACAGTCACCCGACAAAGTTGGCTTCCTTGTACTGTTTATAGTACAGAAAGCTGCTAATTGCTGCATATTTATACTTTTCCGTACGGTTTATACTTTGCCGTACGGTTTATACTTTGCCGCACATCAGGATTCCAACGAAACAACACAAAACAGCGTGGTTCTATTATGCACGTAATCCGTGTACGCTTGGAAATAGGTTGGCAACACTTAAAGATAATAATACTATGAGCAGCTGATTGACTATTATAACTACGATTTAACCAGTCATTTCGTGTTTATAGTTTCGGTATTTCTGAACTTTCTGGACTTTTCTTTTAAATGTTTTTAAAACATTCCTACGATCTTAATAAACAAGAAAATACCTTTAAAGCATTTTTTTAGGCACGGAAACCACTTCAAATTACAAAAACATACGGAACTATATTCTCAAAACGCGGAGCACATTTCTTGCCGAGGAAAAATAGCGGAGTGATACGGACCGCGGGTACTACTTTCTCTAGGGCACCATTTGTGTTGCCAGCTGAACCTAAAAACGTGTTGTATAGTGTTTGAAAGACTAATTATTTATATGCTTTATAGTGACTGTAGGAAAAATATAATGTGTAACACGAGTGAAAAAGGCCTTTGCTGCACTCGAGATCATTCCGCACGAGCCGCATTGCTCTCGTGTGCAGCAAAGTGCCACTTTCACCACTAGTTACACAAATAACTATTGCAAAACTCCAACAACAACAAAAACCTAGTAAACAACATTGTGGATCAGTGTTAGTTGTCTATCTTCAAGTGGCATATTGCTATACACATTTTACACGTGATATAGAATATTATATGAATTGCCATAACATAACCCTGTATAATTATGCCCCCTGTATTAATGGAAAACAAATAACACCCTCATTACATTTCTTTTAAATCGGTTTTGTAAAGTTAGTTAGTAATCTATCTTGATTGCCTTCATTTGTTAAAAAATATGCCTATTTTGTCAAACATTTTTGCTTGGATAATATTTGATTCAATAACTTTCATAGTAGAATTGCTAAACTTACGGGAAGAACTTGAAAGCTTTGACAGTGAACCCATGTTTGGTGAATGCCTCCTTCATCTCCTCTTCTGTGACAGTTGACCTAAAACAGATAATTACTCTTATAACAACTAATCTATTTGACAATAGGATCTCATAAGGGTATTTAATAAGAATTGATTTCTTAATGCCTATTGATGGATGGTGAAAAAAACCTAACTACATTATATCAGGTAAAATAGGTAAACACCAATCAGAAATAATTATAATTACAGTGGTTGCAAAGTTCTTTTTGGAGATAAATAGACAAAATGTAATAAATCGCTTTCAAATTAAGTGACCTTCTCACTCGTTTAATGATAACTTTCTCTAATAATAAAATAAAACAGAAATACGTGAGAGATACATAAAGAAATCTGCAATAAAACAAGCCTTTATAATGGTTTTAAATTACAGCATTTGAAAATGTATCTGGCAAGGAGTAAACAATGTAACTGTCAAAATATACAAATGTGTGTTCTATTAAATTAACGAATGACAACTCCCATACGTACGGAATGTTGGAGAGATGCAGGGTTGCTGAAGGAGGGTAGATGTTCTGGTAGTTCTTAGAGCCAGGTTTTTTGAAGCGATGCAGGTTGGAGGAGGTGTAATCCTTGGTGAGTCCTGCATCGGGCTGTCCTTCCTTGGGCAGTTGTACTGTCTGATGTTTGGAGGGCATCACCCTCATCTGCTTGCCGTACAACTTGAGCTTATCGAGGTGAGTCATCGCTGTAACAGACAGTAACTACCTTAGAAGAGAGTTCCAGAAGTTGAAATAGCACATTCAAAGTTCTTCAGAAGGAAGTAGTCCAGAATGTTAATTACTATTTCCCCCTAAAACTAAACAAACATCTTTAAAACGGTGTCAGTTGGGCTATACCATGTAAAAAGCTTCTCTTACATCTTAATCTCTGCTCGTCTATCTTGAGGGCGAGAATTTTTTAATTGGGACATCGAGCATATATAGACTTGTACTCTTTTATGAACTATGTTATATCCTAGATGTCTAACCAGTGAGAAAAAACCCTAAAAATCTTGAGAAAACTACAAAATTAGTAGTCATCTCTTGAATAACATCCGTAATCATTTCCAGAAATCATGGTACAGCCAGTATCCATGACCATTTCCTGTACTGACGACAATATCCGTGATCATTTGCCACAATCAACATCTTTTTACGTAACAGAATTATGTGAAAAAGAAGCAATGTAACACAACGGATGATTGTTTACTACAAGCTATTGGCAATTTTTTATTTTAATTCGCTCTCATGAACAAAAGTATTGTACAAAGCGTTTTACCGGTCTTAAAAATGAACATAATTCCCTATTTCCCAAGTTGGTCATCACTTTGGACACCTTTGCAAATATCATAGCACACTGTCGCAGATCAAGCTGTGACAGTGCAAGTTACCAACACAATTAAAACAGTACTAACCTAGCTGTGCCTGGTGGGGCTCTGCCATCTGTATAAGGGCGCTGTCCTTCTTGTTGTAAAGGATCTTTACCCTCTGCACATCCCCGTACACTCCTATAAGAATGTTAGACACTCTGTAAGACTCTGTGTTTACAAAGGAGCAAATCGCACAGGTAAACTGTATTCATATAATCTATTATATTATTATTAAAGTAATAAATTTAATAATATTTTGACATTGATTTCCAACATAAAAATATTTTATGCTGTCTCACCTTTTGATAGAAAAAAATCTCTTTATGAAACTGTAATTTTTGGCCTTTGTTTTGAATGATGTAGCAGTTACAATAATTAAAGGTTTTTGTATAGATTTTGATATGTGTTACTGGTTCAAAAGCATTATCCATTGACTGTGGATAGAAATATACATTCCATGTCCATGTTCAAGTTGTGGCCATTTTGAAATCAAAATCAATATTGTTGAAATGAGCCTCTGGTAACAAGTGCTGCTGTAAATTTTGTAATTTCTGTTGTAAACTCCTTTTTAACCAAGCCAAACTGAAAGATCCACCTATTGTTAGCAACAGCATATTTTATATCACGTAATCCTCTGTATGTGGCTCATTCAACTATAATCCAAACAAAACGGCAACAACTGGTTAGTATAAATGTGATCTCCCCAATGGTATCTTCAAAGCCAATGCTTCAACTTAATATTTGTCATGTTCTCTTTTTTCCGTGAACAATCCAGCATCCGAGGAACGCTGAATGTTAGTCAAAGTACTATACTAAAGGTTCTAAACATAGAAAGTAGGAAAGCTAGTTTCAAATTGTAGCTTAAAGCTCTAACAAGAACATAAGCGAGCAGGCAACTGTAGAATGGACTAAAAATAAAATGAGAGTAAAATGGAGCTAAAGAGAGATAAAGAAGTGAGTTGTGACGTACCGAACAGAGTAAATAGCGCATCGGGGGTGATGACCTGTCGATACAGCCGCAGACGAGAACAGAGAACAAAACACAGTGTTAAGGAATAAATCATAATAATAGAGTCAAGCATAGCAGGAGTGCCAGAGGACCAATGCGAGGTTATGTTCCTCACAATGAAATGTTTGTTGAGTGTTTAAATGTTAAAAATAGTTCAATAACTGTTTGAAATGTTCCCAAAAATGAAAAACCATTACCATTCAGAACATTTATTTTTCTTTGGACAAAAATTTGTCTTTGAAAAAATATGAATACTGGCAAACCTTTTATTTTTTTATAGGATGGTTTGTTTGAATATTGCTTTAATTTACACACAAAAACCATTAAGTAGTTGCTGAATTATTGTTGTGATATTTTAACCTTCACTTAAGTCTACAAACAATCAAATCAAACAGTGCTTAAAATATATTAGGTACTATAACGTACATAAGTTATATCATGATATGAACGTCAGCATATTACGATTCAATTTTTAAATGGATAAATCTTTTAAATTAAACTATCATTGAAGTAGGCAATAAACTAATAAAATATATTATTTGTAAAGACAATATTGCTTGTGTATTTTTTAAATATTTTATCAGTAAAAACTTTTTATATTTTAAATTATAAATAATTGGTTAGTTTATTAAATGTAGCACCCATGTCATATTCCAAATCCTCTGGCTTTTCTTAGATAGAGTAAAACAGAGATAAAAGTTAAAGCAACAGTATACATAATGTTGAGTGGAAAACCAAATCTAAAATAGCTACAAGGTAATTAGAACCAAATAAAAATTTGAAAACATTTAATGCAGATAAGTAAGATTATGTAGTTTGAAAACAATTAACAACTAAAAAGACAAGAGAATACAGTACATTACTCATTACAACTAATTTATTTTGATGAGAGATTGCCAAGTATTTGCATTGAGAGAATGCACAGAATATCTAGAGCCAGGGCATGAGATAGCTACTCAAGAACACTGGTTTGCTTGAAGAACAAGAATAAAATAAAGAGATGTACAGAACAATTATTTGTAATTCTGGTAAATAGTAAATATTGAGGGTTAAGCTTTATACAGTAAAATTAAAATATAATTTATATTTTACACAATTTTTCCACTATTTGAGCTACCGTATTTAGGTACCCTGTACATTTTTAATTAGGTGGGTGTGATATAAAAAATAAATGTTTCCACGTGACGTAAATCATGGCATTCAAAGATAAACTAATCAACAATTTTAGAGGAACAATTTTTTAACTGAAAATATATATTGTAGCTACTGGTAAAATAATTGTTTATGTTCATAGTATATTTATTCAATGGTAAAACCAAACCGGATTAGGGTTTGGTGTAAAGTTTAATAAAACAATATTGCTAAAGATTAAATAAACGTGTTAATTTCAACGGTTTTTGTCAGAGAGCTTTTGTTATCGCCAATTAACAGACAACTCTTTTTGTTTCCCAGGAGTATTCTAAAGATGTTAAAAGGGTAGACGTAACAGAATCCAGACAAAAGAGTTGAATAGAGGGCGAGGGTTTGTGGTGGCGTAATCCCTAGGGCGAGTTTTCGCAACGCTAAAGCTACCACTAACAACCAAAACGATCCACTGGCACATACATCTTAGCTGGAAACTTTGTATATTAATTACAGGGAGGAAAAGATCCCTTTGGGCCAAAACCTTTCTTTAGCACACCACTCAAACCTCGGCTCTACACAACTTTTACAACGTAATAACATGAAAAGGCCGGAGAAAACAAAGGCTCTCTTTGGTCCCTAAAGATTAATTTTTTAAGTGAGGTTATACAATGAATCAAGAAAACATCCCTGTAAGTTGCTTTGATAATCTTAAAACTGTGGCAATTAAGAATTAGTCTTGTTTTTCAAGATTCCCTCATCTTTCTATTAAAGCTTTCATGTTCGCCTTTCAATGGCTGAAAATTTGAATCACAAAATAAATATATGACTATTTAGTTAACCAAGCATTTAAACTAATATAAACTAAATTTTACATATTGCACTGTCATCTAATTCTTTATGACAGTACTTAAACAGTATTAAAATGTTTAATTGCGTAACGGGGTTAATAATTTTTTAATCCTGAGACTCAAAAATTAATTTTCATTTCTTCGAATGTGTTAACCATAAATCCGTTGGCTAACAACAAGTTTTAAATATTATTACAAAAAAAAGGTTTATTACAAAAATTCTATTACAAGGAAAACAATAAAACGTTAGTAAGAAAAATTCATGTCTTTCAAAATTCACTGCTCTAAATATATCCAAGTCCTTCAATGGACCACATAAACCCCTAACTTATCACCAGGTATCCTCTCATTTGGAAGAAAAAGTTAAAATTACAAGAACCATTCACCTTGAAAGCTTTACACTCAATACAAGTATGTAGATTCTGCTATGGAGTTACTACGCAACTACACTATACTAAAGTTTTATACAATGTCAGGAAACAGTTCTCACCTCCTCATTCAGGTTGCCGATGAGTAGTACACAGGTGGTAGCCATGGCCCCCGCTAGTCTCATGCCCCCCGCAGCAGCCAACGCAGCATTGCCCCCCGCAAGTGGGGTGAACCCCGCCAAGGGTATGCCTCCTGCAAAACAGGTACATGTTCAGCCTACATTGTTTTGTGTAGGACTAACATCATTTGTACCACTGTAATAAGATGTTTTTGGCAGCTTTCATTTCTAAAATGTTTTTTATGTAATTAAAAATAATTTGTGGATGTAAAACTGATTGCAGGTCCTATACCTGATAGAAGTTTCCAGCTTCATTGATGTGTGGATTTTGGATCGACTGAATGATCTAATACATGTTTGAGTTTGAGTGTTTTCTGTGAACGAATTGTGTAGTTAACTGTACTACAATGGACCATTTTGATAGATGACAGATAACTTAAACCTTTATTGTGTGATCTTAGGTAAGTCTGATCTTAACAAAAATCCTTAAAACAAAGATTAAGCTACATCCTTAGGGATTTTTAGTTAATTTGAAGAACATACTTGAAATAGCTACCTATCCAATCAAATCTCAAAATACAAAGCACTTCAGATATTATTTTTACTTTTATTTTGACAAGCCAACATGTTTTAGGGTGAATAAGAATACACAGTCCGCTGAGTAGTTGGGCTGAGTTTACTGATCTGTGAACTGTTGACAAGTTTTTAACACCAACAATAGGAAAAACTGTATTCAATATTTTCAAGAACGAAACAAATTTATTTTGGTAGATAGCAGAATAATATTAACTTTTAAGCCATACAAGTTAAATATGAGATCAAATTTTTGCCCTGCCAATATTAACTAGGTGTAGCTCATTCTGTAAATTTCGTATAACATATATTTTTAGTTTGGATCCATGGATAGCTTTTATTACACATATAACTTAAGCCGTGTTTACCATGTAAGACACACAACTGCCTAATCAGTTTCATAACAGATATTTATAAGAGTATAATCAACAAAACACCCATTCTTAATTTAATCTTCTAGGCCAACATCACTACAGTGGATCATAAATAAGAAGACCTTTGACCTAAATAACAAGCGCCCTTGATAACAAGGCTCATTTTCAATTACCCTTGATTACATGCTATTGCAAACCTTGATAAAAAGTTAACCTAAGTCTTATTATTCTTAAAGAATAAAAATGTAATACGTTATAACATTGAAAGCGTTACATTAAGCATACTGCATGCAATAGAGTACATACAGGTCATGCACAAGTATGGTTACACAGACAACTAGAATGCTTAAACATTTGATACAAATAATGAAACTGCTTTGTATCTTAAGTGTAAAGCAAGACAACTATCTTTATTTTCTTTACCAGTTTACAAACGTAAAATTTTTTTTTTTGACCGGCTATTTTTGATTTTCTTCAAAGCATTAGTGTTGACTAACATCAGTAGGAAATGGTTGATCAAGTTTAAACCCTTGTCTTCTTCCTATTCAACATTGAGCTGTTGTGTGAAAGATATTTATTTATAGACACATCACAAATTGCAACTGGGTGCACAATTAAAAATATAACACAGTTATCACTTTCTAGTTATTTGGCATAAAGAATAACGACTTGACCAAAACTTTGATCTGATGAAGCCAAAATGATTTCTGCAAGTTGACGACACAAAAGCTGCATGCAAGACATGGTGAGGGTGAACTGAAGTGCAATGACTGTGGACAGTGAAACAGACAAGGCATTTCATTGTTCATTGCACTGAAATGTATGTGAACCATGTCTCGTCGGGTTTAGAGTTAGACATAGATTAAGTATTCCACTTAAACTGTTTAAGGGGTTCGGAGGTTTCTTAAATTTGTATTTACCAGCCTGAAGAAACTTAAAAGGCTTGTGCCGACATAATTACCGAGAGATGAGCTTGGATCAGTACAAGAATTAACTGTAGAGACAAACTTTAAGTGACAGCACCGGTGCGCAAGCCCATAACATCACTGAGTCGTTTTTACAATTTATTGCAATAGCATAACCAACACACCATTCATGTTAGATCAAACATAGCCTGAACAAGTTATCAAAGAAACATGGTTCACATCAGCTTGTCATATCTGCTCCAATATCTACAGTCATGTGTACTGTGTAGTGCAAGGATAAGTGGCGGAGTTGTACCTCCGACGGGCGAACCAGCGTAAGGGGCAGCTAACGGGGATCCTAGCCCGTGGAGAGGGGTGAATGGGGACGCAAGAACACCCTGAGCCCCTGAAACAACATATAGTCTAGTCCACCAAATCGCAAGTCGCATATTGTATTTACCCGGGAAAGAAATATTCGAGAAAATTCATCTACAAAATCAGAGTAGGTGGGAAAACAGGGGTGGTAAATGATCTGGCACTAGAAGAACTACTATTGGGGGTTCCACTACAAAAGTATATAATATTTAATGCGTTTCTTATTGGAAAAAGGACGGATGACTGCCTAAGCAACGCATAAGGTTACACGATGACAATTTTATTAATTTGTTGATTCACAGAATAATTTTATATTCTAATTAATTTATGTTATTTTGATCAATGAGGGTAAGACCACAGATTAAACAAAATAATCTTTCAGAATATTTATGTTACGAGATATATTTTGGGATTGAAAACAAATTATAAGTCGATTATTTACAGGGAGATTTGTTGAAAAGGAAGAAAAAGACTACTACATACGATACAGAAGAGAAGAGAGAAGAAGAAACAAGTGAACTAAACAGTAGTTATTAACATAATAATCAATCTATAGTATTTATCAAGACCCTAATTTTTAGAAGGTTTAGAATTGAAATATTATTTAAAGATTTATATGAAAGAAAGTAAAGCAATGGATTATTTATGAGTAGGATGACACCTTCCCAAAGCCGCCTCATGCATTTTCTAATTTGTAAGTAACTTATATACAATTCAGTCGTAGACTGATAACGTACTTTCCAGGTTGAGGTTTGGAGCGATGACGCCATTGTTCATTGCAGCTATCCACGACTGAATTTCTTCACCAACAAAAAACATTAATTTTCACACATGTTAACCCTTACTTAGATGTAAACTTTATTAGAATACAGATAAAGATATTTCAAGAAGATTTGTAAAGTGTTTAAATTAAAGGGGAAACACACAAAACTTTAAAAAAGATTAAGGCAGAAGTAAAGTCAACAGTCTAAATATGTACCATTAATCTTTGGCTACAATTAAATCAGGGTGATATTTTAAATTTTCAAAGAAAACCAATCACTTAACTTTACTTGTGCCTCTCATGTAGTAAAAAAAATAATAGAAAAACAAACAATACTTTTTGTAAGTAACTTAAAATGGGAAATTTAAAACTAAAATACAAAAAAATAATACAAATATGGGAATTTTTATTAATTTTTTAAGCATATTTTAAATATAAAATTACTGGGCTATGATATGAATTAATTGGTAGCTAAACTATAAAGGTAAAAAGTAAACAAAAACAAAAACTAAAACCCAAACACATTTTTTTAGGTTAGTATCAATAAAAACTATATATTATTATTTAGTATAAAAAGGAAAAAAACATAAATAACAAACATCTATCAGTACAGGGTAGTCGTTGATGGTCAAAATATTATATTGCAAGTTTTCAAAAGAGATCCATACAACGTAAATATACAAAAAGTGAATGCAACATGCTATGTGTGTTATGTGCTATGTTGCAACATTTATTGGTTGTTCAAAAAGTGGACTTTCTCATTTTTTTTACGATGACCTTGGATTATAAGATAAGTTCTCTGACCTGCCTAATATTCATTAAGAATTTGATGTACTTCACTTATTTTATATTTTCTTAATTAATAACAACAATGTCCCCTTTAACTTGATACTGATAAATCACTGTGTTCTGATAAACTGGGAATCTCCCTGTTCCCGATTAACTGATAAATACCCATTTTCTGAAAAATATTGTAAACCCCCTCTCTTGAAGAGTTTGTTCTCTTATAATGCCCTAATATGCCCCCCTTTTCTGATATTCTGATTAACCTCCCTGATATATGCATAGTACCCTTCTCCTGAGAGAGCCTACACTCTCTTAATGTACTGACAAGTCAAAGTTTTCTGATAGACAGATAACTCCCCTCTCTTAATAGAGCCTATCCTCTCTTAATATACTGATAAGTCCAAGTTTTCTGATAGACTGATAACCCCCCTCTCCTAATAGAGCCAATCCTCTCTTAATATACTGATAAGCCCAAGTTTTCTGATGTACTGATAACCCCCCTCTCCTAATAGAGCCAATCCTCTCTTAATATACTGATAAGTCCAAGTTTTCTGATTGACTGATAGCCTCCTCTCCTAATGGAGTATATCCTATCTTAATATACTGATAAGTCCAAAAGTTTTCTGATGTACTGATAACCCCCCTCTCCTAATAGAGCCAATCCTCTCTTAATATACTGATAAGTCCAAGTTTTCTGATAGACTGATAGCCCCCCTCTCTTAATAGAGCCTATCCTCTCTTAATATACTGATAAGTCCAAGTTTTCTGATAGACTGCTGATAGCCCCCCTCTCCTAATGGAATATATCCTCTCTTAATATACTGATAAGTCCAAAGTTTCCTGATGGACTGATAACCACCCTCTCCTAATAGAGCCAATCCTCTCTTAATGTACTGATATGTCCAAATTTGTTGATAGACTGATAACCCCCCCCCCCCTGCACTCCTAATAGAGCCTATCCTCTCTTAATGTACTAATAATTCAAAGTTTTCTGATTGACTGATAACCTCCTAATAGAGCCTATCCTCTCTTAATGTACTGTTTAACCACAGTTATTTGATATACTGATCAACCTCTATTTTCTGATACATTGATCACCCAATGTACTGATAGATGTATGTACCAACTCCCCCAGCCCAGCAAACGCCTTGCCTACCTGCTAGTCTGTTGTGGTCGCCCTGTGTGAGACTACGCCGCGCTGCCTGTAGCGCCGGACTGCCCCCGCCTAGTAACAGCTGAGGTAACAATTGCTCGGACAGCGCAACCCCGTCAAGCCCCGTCTCCCCGTTGGGCAGCGAAGGGTTGGTGTAGTCCCTGGACTTGTCGTTGTTGTACTTAACGTTGAGACTGGACAGTTTGGAGTATTCGATGCGCAGTGTACAACATGAGTTATAGATGTTCTGACCGTCGAGAGACTGTAAACAATAAGTGATTTTTTTAAATACACAAAATAGAGAAAGAAAAATAAATGGACCATGTGACTGTATTCTGTGACATTGGTCGGAGTGTAGAATCACCGATGAAGTTCTTAATGACTACGAGGGGGCATGGCTTTGTTTATGCATCAGATTGATCATGAAATGGTTTATTTAACAACCTACAACGTTCATGGCGAGATCATGCACCTCTGGTATTATGAGGACCATCTCCTTTCTCACAATAGTTTACAACTTTTCATGGTGTTATAAGTTAACAATTATTTATCAAAACAAAATTTGACGATATGGTATATTCAAGAAAATTTTGAGTACTGCCACAAATGACAAATAAAAGTCACTATATCATATTGTCAATACATTAACTAATTTTTCAATTGTGGATTCTATAAAATTGTTGAATTTTCCATTTAAACAAATTTTGTTACAGTTAAAATTTCATCTAATGAATTATGTACATTAGCAACATCTCTTCATTTTTGTGAATGATACAATTTTTCTTACTGTTAAAATTATCAAGGAAGATTATCAGGTAACTTGTTTTAAGACAACAATTGAGACAACTAATTATGACTTTATCAATAAATCTAATAATTAACAGCTATAAGAACTCTACTGGGAAATACAGAATAGAAAAGCTCGAAATATTAATAAGGATCTCGTACTTTGAAAGAGACACAATTGAAAACTGTGACGACAATGGGAACAGATGGAGAGGGGAGGGGATGGAAAGGAGAAATGTCTTATTTACATAGAGCCCGAGCAGAGAATCTTCAAGAGGATGCAAATCGTACAAATCCTGTACATAATACAGCAACCCACACAATACAAAGCGGCTGTGAATATAACTTGTAAACACGCCAGGTCAAGCACAGGAAAGGTAAAATTAACAACAAATTAATAAATGAGACAGTAAATGGTAGAGTAATGAGATATGTTTTCTAACAATATGCGACCTAAGCCTTCTTACATCTGCTGCGGGGTTATTATTTTTTCAAATTTTAATCATTTTACGGAGCCGAGTATGTAACGAGGTTCACGAAACCTTTCCCAAACACGGCTTTGAGATATAATCATAAAGAACGTGGCTATTGTTATTATTTAATGCACGGAAATTGTGAGGAAATGAAGGAGGGAGCAAAGGGAGGTAGCGTTCTATTTTTAATGTACTCTTAAAGCGAGATAAAATTAAGAGAAATGAAGACTCACTGGGCAATGTCTTCTTCATTACAGAAAGATATTTTACCTCTCGACTTAGCTTTGGTTGTGTTTATCTCAGAATGTAAATTGTTTTCGTATTTCATTTTAAATTTGCAAATAATTGTAAATGGAAATGGAGGTAAAATTTCTTTCATGAGTTGCAATATTTGTCTTCAAAATATAACTCTTCAGCTTGTAGGGGTTTTTTGAGTAACCAAACAATTGTTTAAATAATAACAGGTTAAAATTTCTTTATTAATCTTTTTAATTTTTCAAAAAGCTATTGAGTCTGAATTATGTCAAGTTACTAAAATACACCTACACATTTTAAGCTCTTGTTGATAAATTAAATCTAATAAATAAGATTTATGAATACAATTATGGAAAAGATTTTTACCCTTACAGGAGAAGATCTGGGGAACATGTAATCACTTTATTTGGAACAATTAGTGTGTTATTGTTTTAAGTTTGTTACACAGTTTCATTGTTTCCAATGAAAAAGGTTATTAAATTCAAAACAACACCACAAACTACCCTAAAACTTATACTCAATTTAAACTAAAATTTATCAACACCATTATTAAAATTCAAAATTAACCCTGACTGGGAAGAGAGAATTAATCTGAAGTAAAATATAAAGATAAAGACAAATTTACAGACGAATGAGCAATATGATTGAATGTACTACTTCAAAAGTTCCCAGTGATCATTCCGTACATTCTCCAAATAAAATATAGCCCTCTATCGCAGCCCGAGCATCTGAATCCTTATTTCCTCCCCTCCCTATTTCGGTTATCATTCATCTCTTATAAAGAAAGCTTCCGAAACAAACCTCAAGCTTTTCAGATTCAATTCTTTTATGAAGTATCGATTTATGGATGTAAATTTAACAGAAAAACAATTAGAGGGATGATGAATTGTTGGAGCCGCTGCAAGGATTATGGGATATTGGAGATTACTTTGGTTCGGAACAGTTACAGTTGACGTAACTTACCAGTTTAGCTGACTGAGCTGTGACAACATCTGGGTACTGGATAAGCACTTGGAACGAATCTGTAACACAAGTAATGTTTACAGTGCAATAAAACTAACTGTAGTGGCACAAAAATAAAATGTACCTACTGAACCTGCAGTACTAAAAACAGGATACAACACTAACATGGTCTTCAGGTCTAACATCTTGGTCTAACTGACGATGAACATCCTAGGAGTAGGAAAGAGCAATTGTACTGCTATCATTGAATGAAATTACTGTGATTTTGGTTTCTTCTACTCATCACAAGGTGTTAGTGATGTGAAGGAAGTATATGGATATTGTTTTTAAAGTGATACAGTTAATTTATTGTTGTGCTAATTCTAGGTTGGGGTGCTAACTTTTACACAGATATTCTTGACTATTTTGTAATACATAGAAAATACATTGTTAATATGAACCCAGAGGAGAAAATAAATAGTTTTATTTTGAGTTTCAAAAATTTTGAATTCTGAAAAAACTATTAAAATGACAAATTAAAAAATACTTTGAATGGAATTATATTGTTTAACAAACTTAGTGGCAGTAATTAGCTTACAATAAACTCAAATCAAAACTGATTCAATTTTAAATCACATTCTCTTCCACATAAACACCTTAGATTAATATTGAAAATCAACTAGGCTATAACAAATATTTAATGAAACCAACCAAAATTATACTTACTGTTTTTGGTGAAGGTTACGATTTTCAAAACTTTTCCAAACCGAGAGAAAATCTGGAACAAACAGTTGCATTAAAAATCGTGAATACTACCTACTAAATGATTTACTTTACGTGTTGGTGCTGCTCATACATAAAAGGCCCACATACATATTACCTTAAATTAAAATGATTACTTATTTTATTCTATACCTATTTTTTCTTTACCATAAGGAGGAAAAAGTAAAACTTGTGAACATTCAAACATTTTATAAACTTTGAGTAACTAAATTTTAATAACAGCAAGATGTTCAAAGTTAATGAACACCTGTTGTCCTTAACAGATTAATTAGCTTAAACAAAGTTTGGCGCTTGAAAAATATCAGAAAGTAAACTGTTACTCGGTAAAAAGTGAAAAGAGCACTTATTGAAATTAAGTTTTACTCAGGATTAATCTGAACAAAGTGAACATGAAAGAAGGGGTGAGAATAAAGGGGAAGGGGAAAGTTAGGTAAACAGGCTACAAACTTTCTGAGGCAACATGTTGTACATTTGCTGGTTATGTTCTCTATTCACATCGTGTAGGCTAATTACTCATTTTATTAGGGAGCAATTCATATGTTAATTTAATTATTTCAACAGAGTAATTTACATGAGAAATTACAGCCAATTCGGTCAGAAGTGTAGGTGTAAAACGGTTTTGCAGTAAATTAGTTCAACTCTAGGACATAAATTCGTACCACATTTTCACTACTGTGGTAGGTTTATGTTGTAGGTGTTTATACTGTATTGCTGATTAAATCTAGTAGAGCAAATTGGTTTTGAGCAGAAGGGTAATACGTATAGTTTAATTAAGATTGTGTGTGAATGTAAACCAATATAATTTTTACGTTTAATATGTACTTGAGAATATTATTGGGAACATATTTTAGAGCATGAGATATATCAATATGAATTAAACTGCTAATTTACAGTATTCAATACTTGTCAATTGCAGATATATGTCATAACGAGGGATGTGGCTTCCTCAAACAGGCTACAATTTATGAAAAAAATTGCCTTTTTAAGACTCACTACAAACGGTTTGGTCTTTTGTTTGAAAACTGACTGTAGTTTAAAATAAAATGAAGGTAATTTATAGCTGTTAAACTGCAATGTTTAAAATCGATGAAAGCAAATTGGGCAGCAGGTTTGGACCTTTCCTTTTTCATAATTATTGTTCTTCCATTTGCTAGATCATAAGCATTAAAATGACACCAATAATAAAAATCTTAAAATGGACAGACGAAAAAAGGATATTAGGTACAGAGAAATCTGTTATTGTATAAAGTGAACTATTCATAAGACATACTTTCACAATGGAGATGGACCCTAAACAATAATGCAACTATAGTGTATTTTTGTTAAGAAATTAATTCTTACATAAATTAATCAACTTATAACAATGCAAAATATACAACTAAACTCAATAAAATTTGTGACGAAATCCGTGATAGGCAGACAATTTTTTATGAACTTAACAGAAACGCTATAACTCAAAACGTGCCAATTAAGACAATACAAAATACGTAAACAGTTTTAGGGAAAGTAAAGCAAGCAAAGGTCGAAAGAAAACACTCGAGACAGTGGAATCCGTTGTTTTAGGGTCACAACAGGGATAAACCCACACTCTGAGGGGATGAAGAACGTTTTAGGAGGAAATTTCCCCCGAGGTTTAAGAAATAAGATGACTGGCCTGGTCACCGTATTGACAGATTTATAAGGTAAGCGGTTGAATCGAATCACCCATTGACTAATCATATGTCCTTTCAAAACATATTGACTAGAGACTTATGGCACAGTTCAATGTGCTTTGGTGGGTGGTTTGAGTAGCTAACACCTTTGGTATTGACATAGACTAACCAACACAAGTAGACTTCTCATCCCATTGTAAATTTTGAAGCTCGTTTTTCATTTCTAATTCATGTACGCCACACTGGGCGCTAGTGTCGACGAAATTTTGTTTCTATTATTTTAGGGTTAATTTCTTGATTTGTGCTTTACTGTTTGGTTAAATAACTAGGGGACAATTTATTGTTTATGATTAGATCGTATTATTTGGTTAAACGAGGTTTTAAATGACTGTATTAACGGGAAACAAATTGTAAACAAAACACGACCTCTACATAAACCGTACAGAACTAACAATAAAATTGTCTTCAGCTGTTGCATAAGAATGAGAAATCTACTTGGGGGAGTATGTTTTTATCTATGGTATTGATTTGTAAGTTTGTTGTGGGAGTTTTGCTCAATTCACCAGGTTTAGGCATACTCATTGCTTTGTACTTGGTGAAGATTTATTGTGACAAATAACAGTGACATGTTAGACTATTACAAAAGGAAAATATATTTCGAACACTGTACCTGAACAAGTTTGGACTCCTATGAAACCTTCAATTTACCTCTCTACCTAACCGAGTAATTCAAAGAATAACCTATTATATTGATAAATTTGAGAATGCCTGTCACTCTGAAAATGTATAAATTAGTCGTGTGTCTAAAATTTAAAATTTGAGAATTTAAATAGTTGTTTTCTTGAGCAAGCAATTAAATATTATCACATACCTTTTATGTGATATAATACAGTAAATTGCTTAATCGACCAGGTAAGTAAATCCATGTTCAATACATTTATCGTGTACCTGTCTCCCCCCCCCTCTCACCACTCAGCACTCCTTGTTCATTACACTAATTAATCCCACCATTTTGAACACTTTATCGATCGGATTCAAAATGTTTAATGACTTGGGTCAATCGACATTGTGTATTTGCCGAACAATATTAATGTAGGACTTGATTGCTTTGCATTAAAATTAAAAGTAAACAGTTTGAGTGAATTTGATTGAAAGTGGACGATCGATGGATCAACCTGTGCGAGTTCACCTGTATCAACATTTAACGTGCCAGTGTGATTCATTTTTTCCTCGTCTATAGTTTTTAGGAAAACAAGACAAAGGTAGTTTTTAAAGGAATTACATTATTACAGTTGTCAGGAAATTCCTTTTTAGTAAAAAAATCTAGAGATTGTCTTGAACAATGTGTAGTGAATGATAATTTCTGATAAAATTAGATTTGAACAGGGTTTTGATGTTCCTTACAAATATTATAAAAAATTCACAAGTGTTGGTGTAGATTAAAATACATTAAAACATCCTTATTCTACTTTGTATTACGTAATGCATTACATCTGAACCTGTTTCCAAAATAAAGCACGTGTTTATTCAAGTGTAGGCCTGTTTTACAATGGTAGGTATGAGTATTTCAATGAGGTGTTAGGCAAAATTCTTTAAAAAGATCCCTAATTAAAGAATCTCCTTCAAATCTATGAAACTTAATCATAAAATGTTTTTATAAATAATTGATAGGTGAAAGATATATTCAAAAAATAAATATTGGAATAAAAAGGCATCAAAAGACTTTGTAATAGTTAATTATATTATTTCAAAAAATTGTTGAAGTTATTATTTGAACTACTATGAACATTATTGTTTATTGAAAATCTTCCTACTCGGTCCACAAACGAACGTACCAGAAAAATAGCTTTACTCCCATTGTAGATAACAAAAGACAACGGCTTGACAATTCAAATAAGAACCGGAATTTTACAAAACAGCAGAAATACTTTTTACGAGGCCACAAGAGGAAGCGAGTAATCCTTTTACCTTCTTCGCTTCGCAGCTTGTCATCTTTTACAAACTTTTTATTTGCTTTTCATTCCCTTTGGCAAGGTAAATATCTGACTCATGTGATTGGCCGTAGGGACGCTCTGCTCTCAGTCAAGACGCTTTAGCTTCCTCAAGATTATTCAATACCAGCTCCAAACAGACTGTATTGAAATCAATCAAGTACATCATAATATCCTGAATCAGTGAGGACAAAACATGATGATTTGTGAAAAAAAATAATTAAAAACAGGGTTAACGATTTTTTTATAAGTAGGTGTAAGGAATCAGTTCGATTTGAGACTTGTGTTAGAAATGGTAAAAAATGATTGAACGGTATGCATTATTATAACAAACTGGACTGTACGGTGGTAAACGTTAGAACGATTTTGTCAGGGATAGCCTATTAATATGGCCAACATTGCAAGCACGACTTTATTATGTTTTAAATAGAGTCCTAGTTCCCTAGCATATTTGAAGCTCATAATAAGTAAGTATAAAAAAATTGAAGGATTTGATATTATTTTTATTACTGAAATACAGACACATACGTAGGTGCGTATTTTATGCTGAATATAAACAAGGTGAGCGTTGAATTGAGCTAGATGATCCATGTCAATGTTGTCACTGACTAGGAGGATCAACTGTTTCGTTAGCCAGGATCATTTATTAGCCCAATAATCAGGAACAACTAGGTCCAGTTTCAAAACATTAAAAAACTACTGACTTTTCTCAGAATCGAACCGGCAATCTTGATTGTTAGATGAGTACTATAATAGCTACTCAGCTATCTAGCCAGTAAAGGATGTGACTAATACACTATATTTGAAAAGTATAAAAAATGCACATATACCCATAAAAAATTCTTTTTAACTTTCTGTAAACTTGAAAAATGTCATATCTTAGCTTGTAGAACCATAATTAGGGTTATATCAAAAGAAATTAAACCAGAAAAAACTTTCCCCGATTATAGAAATCCTCTAAAAACAGAATACCTCCAAAGAGTAAATTTACAAACCCCAGATGAACAAGGGAGATTAATCTCTGGGCCAATGTTGTGATCAAATTTCCCTCTTAATCCCCCGTCCCTGATGAGCGCCAGCCAAAAGGTAATGGATTGTGTTGAGTGAAGACTTACAAACAAACTCCGACTCAACAATTCATCTCGTCTAATTTAGCGACAAGTGACGTTTAAATGTTATCAAATGTGACTACGCCGAGTGAACATCCTTGTATTGTATTGTGTCTGTCTATCTCCTACACACACTTTCTATACAACAGGATAACAGGATACTGCTAAATAGGGAATTATCCAGTTATCAGGGAAGTGAACCTGTGTGAGTTTGGGGAGTGAAAGTTGTGTTGATGTTGTAAG